CCTGATTCAGCATTGACGTCTCTTATGTTCTTATTTCTGTCTGGTGTATTGTCTCCTTGTAGTGATCTCATCACATCTCAGAAGCTAAGCAGGGTTGGCCCTGGCTAGTATTTGGATGGGATTCCTCCAAGGAATACCAGGGTTGTGATGCATAGGCAGGCAATGGCAAACCACTCTCTTGCCTTGAAAACCCCACCAGGGGTTGGCCTGTCAGCTGCGACTTGATGGCACTTTCCACAGCCACCAGTGAATGTCCTTATGGGCAGCCATTTCTGCCACATCTCTGCATAGGATGTAATTTCACCCTTCAAACAGAGATGCAACAGCAGTTAGCAATCCCGAGACTGCTCACTGAATCTCTGTATGAGTCTATGCTCTGAGCTTACACTCTTCCAATGAACCTCTGCAAGGGCGTGGGATAGGTTCATACCACCGCATCAAGTATGACTGAATGATACAGCTACCCGCATAAAAGGTATGGCAGATTTACCCACCACAGAGAAGACTATCCCATGCATCTCTGCATGATTTGCTACGTTGATCTACTCTTTGCCCAATGAGCCCCCACCAGGGTTGGGCGGGTAATAATTCTGCTGTCTTGTTGAATAAGATGCTACTGGACAAATCATTCTAAACAAAGAGACACAGCAAAGTACCCTGCCCTCAGAAGAGGGAGCTTGTTGAATCTCTGCATGAGTGTCTGCTCTGACTGACCAAGCCTTCTGATTAACAAGGCACACCCAGATTAGTATATAGAAACACCAATTGTAGGCTCTTCCGTGGCAGGCAACTCTTAAGACATAACACAAGACTCAAACCTTTGGAGGGGATTAAAGCAAAGTGCATTTTCCTGTCATTTAATTCAGGAACCAAAGGTGTACTTCATATGCAACAATTGTGTGTGTGTGTGGGGGGAAGCTGGCTGAACCTCTATTTATGTCCTATGCATGCCTTATTTCAGAGGCCCCCCACCTTTCTGAGCCTGCAGGCACATCTGGAATTCTGATACATGGCTGCTGCAGGAGGCGGAGCCACAGACACAGAGGAAGCCCAAGGGCAGGGGAGAACGGGAGTAATTTTAAAAAATACATTAGGAAGCAGCTGTGAGAATCATACAAACACTGGTTGCGGCTGCCATTGAAACAATTTTATTTTAATCCGCACAGTCAATTAGAACTTCAGTAGCAAATCAGAAGCCCTGGCTTCAGAAGCACCCCTGGCTTTCCCCCTCAAGGGTCAATGTGAATAGTGATGGGCTTGTTCCATTCGGCAAGTGTTACAAATTGATCTCTGGGCTTACATAGCCCTTCTCATCTCCACGAGACGCGGTAATTAGCTTCTCACGAGAACCCACAGGATTGGAGGGGGGGAGTCAGGGGTGATGAGGTAATTTTCTAGAGGGTTCCAGCAAGATGGTGTGCTGATTGGCTGTCATTGTGGCCTGATGTTGCTTGACCCACCCAAAAATATAATTGAGCGAAGACCCTGGAGAAAAAAAAGCTAGCATGGATTTTGATGGACTAGAGGCCTGGACATTGGGAACCCCAGCCTCATTTTCTGTCTTTCACACATTTTTTCCTGCCCCCGTTTTGTGTGACCCTTGCTTGAAATAATCTCAGATCAGTATTTCCCATAAAAGGATCACTGGCAAAAACGAGATTCTCTTGGAACGAGAAACGTCTAATAAATCCATCAAGTCCTGGGGGAAGGGGGGGGGGAGAGGAAAGGTTGGCGTGCTGGAGCCAGATATATGAGGCAGCTGGGGAAAGGGGGATTTGCTGCTACATATCTGAGAAGAGGGCAGGAATTTGAACCCCAGAGCGTATGTAGCAATGGGGAGGCAGATTTCTCAGAACAGCCTCTGGGGAAAGACACAGAAGGGCAGATCTCGTGCACATCGCGTGTGTATAGTTTTAACCCAGGTTCAAAAAGAAGCCAGTGTAGGGTATCGGTTAAAGTGTTGGCGTGGGAGGCCCCAGGTTCAAATCCCCCCTTTCGTCTAAGCTTGCTGGGTGACCTAGTCACACACTCTCAACCGCACAGGGTTGTTGTGAGGGTAAAATGGAGAATGATGTAAGTCATGCTGGGTCCCGAGGCAGGGGGTAAATGACATTAATTAATTAAAAGTTTTGGCTTGGGGGGGGGGAGTGCCTTCAAAGAAAGCACTTTTGATCTGTAAGGTTGAGATCCAGTTTTTTCCTTAAAAGCAACCCGCCAACCCAAAAGGTAGATTGGTAGGGAGGGTTGCTTTCTCTCTGGCATTCTTTGGACATCAGAGGGTGCTGGAACCCTAACCTCTGATGAACAGCAAACATGGCAGAAGAATAAAGCCAAAACGGTTTGTCACAGACCCTGACTGTTAGAAGAGCTGGTTTTTATACCCCACTTTTCTCTACCTTAAGGAGTCTCAAAGAAGAAGAGGAGAAGAGATTGGATTTATACCCCGCCCTTCACTACCCAAAGGTGTCTTAGAGCGGCTTACAAACTCCTTCCCCTTCCCCTAACAGACACCCTGTGAGCAGTGTTCCCTCTAAGCTGAGTTACTGTGAGCTAGCTCAGTTTTTAGTCTCCGGCTCACAGATTTTTGTCTTAGCTCAGGAAGGATGGCTCCAGAGCACACTGATGTATGCAGTAGCCAAATTACTCGCTCACAACTTTAATGCCAGTAGTTCACAGAGTAGAATTTTTGCTCACAAGACTCCATAGCTTAGAGGGAACATTGCCTGTGAGGGAGGTGGCGCTGAGAGAGCTTTTGACAGAAACTGCTCTTTTTCAAGGACAGCTCTTATCAGAACAAAGTCTTGCCCAAGGTCATCCAGCCAGGTGCAAGTGGAGGAGTGGGGAATCAAACCCGCTTCTCCCAGATTAGAGTCCGTGCACTTAACCACTATACCAAACTGGCTTACAATCGCCTGCCCTTCCTCTCCCCACAACAGGCACCTTGTGAGGTAATTAAGGGGCTGAGAGAGTTCTGAGAGAACTGTGACTGGCCTGAAGTCACCCAGCAGACTTCCTGCGGAAGAGGAGGGGGGAATCAAACACAGTTCTCCGGATTAAAATCCACTGCTCTTAACCACTACGCCATGCTGCTTCTGTTAACCTTACAGATGACTGAACGAAAGCAGGCCTGTTTCTGCAAAACACCTGTTTGCTTTGTTTTAGCAATGTTTGTTACGTCCTCAGGAAAGATAATGTATGAATTAATGGCTGCACGCCCAGGACCCAACCTTACAATATGAACAAATGTAATACAGGGTTGCCACAATTATTTATGTGGGAAATTCATCCTAAACTCAGAAGCATTCATACCACGCCTTCAGGGGGAACAACTTAAACGGTTTCCACAGAGCCATGTGAGTTGGGCCTGTATAAGATAGCCACACCCCAAATACCCCTAAAGTCTCTCACGCGTAGGTTTTCCTCCTAGCAGTTAAGTCACGAACCTATTATTCACTATGAAGGAATCGAGTTTCCTGATTCTTCCTGACCAATTTGCTCGGTGACCCACAGCCTGTACGCAAGTGTTGTGCACTCTGTATTGGGGATTCTGCCCAGGATTAGAGATCAAGTCACTAGTTCCTGTTCTGCATAGTCACATGAACAGAGGTGAGGTTGGCGGATATGTAGGACAGGACTATTGAGGGTTTTTTCCCCCCCCCCCCCCCGTTGCTTTTGAAAGACAAGGTCCATTATGCTCCCGCGTTTTTGGCCTTCTGGAAACCTGTCAAAACCACTTTGAAACACTTTAGGAACTTTTACCCCTTTGCATAATGCTGATGGTTTTATTCACATTTGCAAAGTCCGTTATCGACCGTTGTTCTTAGTGCGGTTCTAATTACGGCTTGTGTGTTCTGTCTTGTTGTTGCTTAGTCATGCATTTGTGGTGGAAAGTGTTGTCAAATCACAGCTGACTTATGGCAATCCTGTGGGGTGTTCAAGGCAAGAGACTTTCAGAGGAGGTTTCCCATTGCCTGCCTCTGCGTCATGACCCTGGTATTACTTAGAGGTCTCCCTTCCTCTGCCCGCCACAGCCACGCTGCTGTCCTTCGCTGCGGGGGCCCGGCGGCCAGGAGTGGGCCACCCCTACCAGAACCCAGCCCCCCAGGCCGCGAGGGTGACGGAGAGCGAGCACCCGGCTGGCCTTCCTTTCAGGGAGGGGCGGTCAAGCCGAGGGACTTCCCCTCCTCCCAGCCTGCCTGGTTCCAGCGGAGAGGTCTCCAGGCCCCGCCGGGAGGTTGCCATCTGCACTCGCCTAGAGCGCAGGAAAACCTTGGCCGGCCCTGAAGAGATTGGATTTATACCCCACCCTTCACTACCCAAGGGAGTCTCAGAGCGGCTCACAAACTCCTTTCCCTTCCCCTCCCCACCACAGACACCCTGTGAGATAGGTGGGACTGAGAGAGCTCTGACAGAAACTGCTCTTTTTCAAGAACAGCTGTGCCAGAACTATGGCTTGCCCAAGGTCATCCAGCAGCTGCAAGTGGAGGAGCGGGGAATCAAACCCGGTTCTCCCAGATTAGAGTCCTTTTGATGCCAGCCTCATTTTGATTTGCATTTGCAATAAATCACTAAAGAAAAACTTTCCATGCCTGGGAGTTTCCATAAGACATTCTGCCTGCCTCCTCTGAGTTGCTCACATGGTCAGGCTGGCTCCTCAGATAAAAGTGGTATTTGTCTCTTCTTCAAAAAGAGCACTGCAGTACTGTGCCAGTTCTACCAAGGTTTTGGACTCTTGCGTGAAGAAGAGAGCAAAATGGGGGGTGCACGGCAGCAGAGGAGGCTAGGGAGGAAACCCCACTCTGCATGTCCCCCGACGTATTTCCCCATAGCAGGAAGCCACAGGTGGGTTGAGAGCCCCCTTGAAGTGCCCCACAAAAGAGTAGCATGCCCCAACTACCATGATTAACTTTTTGGAGGTGGCCTACGGCATCAGATTACAACTCTCTGCTTCTTCTTCAACCGAACTGAACTTTTTTATTAAGTTCATAAGCACACGGGCAGGTAGAAATCCTTTTTTTCCCCTACAAGAAGAGGCTAGTTCCCCTCAAAGTGCATCAGCAGTGCCTGGCTTGTGGAAGATATGAGGGGAGGGGGGAGACAAAGAAAAGCTGCCCTCCTTCCCTCCCCACCCCTGGACACTTGGGGGTAACAGCAACCATACGGTGGAAGAATACGAGGACGGAGCTAAGCCGTTCTGTCCTTTTACGCTGCCCTCCAATAGGAGGGAGGATGCCTTCCCATGTACATTCAAGGTGGGTCAGAATCAGGAGCCCTTAAAAAGACAGGGGGGGGAGAAAGATTTTTATAGGTGTAAGTATATGTATATATAGACCTCAGTCTCCACAGCCAGGTTGGACGATCCCAGAGACCGTGTTATTGCTCAGAAAAGGGCAAACAAGCTTAAGGCAACAGGGGTGACAGCCGATGTCTGTCGCTGGCCACTTCCAAGATTGGACTGGGGGCACATTCAGGATCTCAAGCAGTCCTCTGTGACACCCTGAGCCGCAAGCTCGGCCAACACGTTGTCCAAGTAGTTGGGGTCTGGGTAGCCGTGGCCCGAGGCGTTGGAGCTCATCTCCGTCTTGTGGTGGATCTCGTTCCACACCACGGTGTTGCTCTCCCCCGTCGTGCTGGACGTCCCGATGGTGAAGATCAAACGCCTCTTCCAAGCCACTCTGAGGAGCTCCAGCACCTGGGGGGAGACGAGCCAAGGTGAGAAGACCTTCCCACATGTGAGAGAGACACAGCGGGGTGGGTCTGATGGGGTCACAGGGAGGTCAAGACATACAAAGGGGTATAGGCCATATTAGTGGCTCTTAGTCACAGTAGCTAAATGAAAACTCCATCCTGAGAGGCAGCCTGCCTTGGAGCGCCAGTTCCGTGAATTCAGACTGCTGAATTGCAACTCAAGACAATGCATCCTCCTGAACTGAATCCGGACCTAGGTTTCCAATGCTACTAACCCTCTGCATATCACACAAAAACCAAACACGCCTGCTATTGTCATTCAGCATCAGAAATCATTCTGCTCTCCAGTCATAAGGAGAGATGGACTCACATTCTAGCGGCATCTGAAGAAGTGAGCAGTGACTCATGAAAGCGCCTGCCCTGCCACAAATGATGTTAGTCCTTTACGGTGCTACTGGTCTCATGCTCTTTTCTACCGTGACAGACACAATAACGTGGCTACCTGGGGTTGTGCTGCTCAGCCCCCCAAAGTGGCGGGATATATATATATATTTTTAAAGCAACCTCCCCAATGTCACTATGTCATTTCTAGACAAAACCCAGAAGTGAAATACTACAGCTCTAGCTTTTATCATTTGATTTCCGGCAATTCCTGTGCCACGCCCCCCAATATCGCTGCTCCCCGGGCCCCAACCCTCCTGCTGGCTGCCAGGTTTAGCCTGGCATACCCAGGGGGACACATACAGTGAAGAGGGTCATTTGTGGTCGTCCTAGAAGCACGGCACTGCAGGAAACAGGATGCTGGCCTTGATGGGTACCGGTCTGATCCAAGAGGGCTCTTCGGCTCTCCTCACTCTCCATTCTGAGCACCCCACAGACCGACTTACACTGATGTTATTCTTTAATCTAACACACATAAATGCAAATATTTGTCAGGGGGTCTCTGTCCAAGACCCTAGACACAGCAAGCCAACTTATGCCAGCCATTGGCCCAACGAGCCTAGAACTATTTCCACTAATTAGCACTAGCATGCCAGGGGCTCAGATAGAACACATCCCCCCCCCCCGACTCTGCAGCTAGATATCCTTTGGACCAGAGACACCACTACCAGTAAGCAGTGTTCCCTCTAAGCTAAGGTAGTGTGAGCTAACTCACAGTTTTTGAGCCTCTGGTTCACATTTTTGTCTTAGCTCAGGAACAGTGACTCCAGAGCAAACTAATTTATGCAGTAGCCAAATCGCTCACTCAGAGCTTTAATGCCAGTAGCTCACTTTTAAAAGGACCAAAAAAAAGAGAGAACATTTTGAAAATACGTGGTGAAGATTCTACAGATGGATTGAAGAATATATTAAACAAGAAGGGGGACCCGCGATACTCACGGGGGGGAGGGGGGAGACGCTCCACGAGAGAAACCGCCGCAGGTGAGCCTTCTCCCGTGTCCCCTCCACCCGTCCCTGGCACCCACGGCGAGGCCTGACCACGGCCCACCAAGCTTCCCCAACCCTAGCACCGGACTGCTGAACTTCCCTCCCCCGGCGGCAGCGCTTCGCCGGCCCACCAAGCTTCCCCCCTTGGCGGCAACACCTTGCCAGCCCACCGAAATTTCTCCTTCTCTCCCTCCCTCCTCCCCCCCCCGGTGGTGAGGCCTCACCGGCCCGCCAAACTTTCTCCTCCCCCCGGTGGCGTTGGCGAGGCTTTGCTGGCCCGCCAAGCTTTCCTCCTTCCCGGCCCGCCAAACTTTCTCCTTCCTCCCCCGCCAGCGGCGGTGGTGAGGCCTCACCGGTCAGCCAAGCCTTTTCCCCCTACCCCTCCCGCCACCGCTGAAGCCGTTCCAAGAGAGTTCCCTGCGCTTGCGCCGGATATCCGCACGCAGGGGGCGCCTTCACTATTAGATATATAGATGAACTTTGTAAACAACCGAAGTAGAAAATATAAAGAACATAATAACGCTGATAGTAATATGTGCAAGATTTTAAAACATTATAAGGTGTAGAAACTTGTGTTTAGAGAAAAATTTAAGAGATACTTAACGGTTAGATTCTCCTATTTTATGTTTGTGTTGTAGATTTGTTTTGTCTCGGTTCGTGTTTGTTTATTTGTTGTTGTTGTTATAAAATAAAAAGGGTTATGTATATATATAAAAAACCAAAGTAGAATTTTTGCTCACAAGACTTCACAGCTGAGAGGGAGCATTGCCAGTAAGCCAAACTTCCTGCCACAAAATCACCAAATTTCTCACCCCTTCCCAGGCCACCCCGTAGCCCAAACTAGCACCAACTCATCCTAATTCCATCTCTCTGCCATCCAAACATCGCTCAAACCAAAGCAGGGTAATATATTTTTTTCTTAAGCTCCTTAGTTTTAGAAATAGGATTAAGGTATGCAAAAAGAGCACCACATTAGTGTCATTCAACATACCCCCTCCCCCACCAATGGAGTTCTGGGACAGAAGGGGAGGGGCTGTGGATCGGTGGTAGAACATCTGCTTGGCATTGCAGAAGGTCCCAGGTTCAGTCCCCGGCATCCCCAGTTAAAGGATCTGGCAGTAGTTGATGGGAAAGACCTCTGCCTGAGACTCTGGAGAACCGCTGCCAGTCTGAGTAGACCAGGGGTGGCCAAACTGTGGCTCGGGAGCCACATGTGGCTCTTTTACACATATTGTGCGGCTCCCAGCAGGGCGGCTGGGGAAGCGAAAGGGAGGCATGCTTTTCTTCCCTCCTTCCTGTCTATTTGCTTTCCTTGTTTCTCTCTCTCTCTTTCCACCCCTTTCATTCTTTCTTTCCACCTCTCTCTTTCTCTCTCTCTCTTAGACAAGTAAATATCATTAGCAAACAAAAACCATTCTCTGTATCTGTTTTTATTTTTGGCAGTCTCGTTTAATGTTAATAAGAAAGCAAATTTGCATATTTTAAAATAAAAACGTGCATATAATATTTATTCACGTCTTGTGGCTCTCAAACATCTGACATTTATTCTATGTGGCTCTTATGCTGAGCAAGTTTGGCCACCCCTGGAGTAGACGATACTGGCCTGGATGGATCAAGGGCCCGATTCAGCGTAAGGCAGCTCCTTCTCAGGGCTTTTTTTGTAGAAAAGGTCCAGCAGGAACTCATTAGCATAATAGGCCACACCCCCTGACTGCACCACTCATTAGCATATTAGGCAACATTCCCATGTTACCAGAAGTGTGGTCATCCAGCCACAACCACCTTTTGCTTCTTATTCTGTTTACCTTGTTTGTGGTCAAAACCCAGGGCTTTTTTTGTTGCAGGAACTCCTTTGCATGTTAGGCCACACACCCCTAATGTAGCCAATCCTAATGAGTTCCTGCTGTTGGGTGTGGCCTATTATGCTAATGAGTTCCAGCTGGGTGTGGCCAACTTAGGAGCCAGCCGGAACTCCGTTCCTGTGCGTTCCTGCCCCAAAATAGCCCTGCTCCTTCTGTTCATGGATTTGGCAGCCCCTTAATACCACGGACCCAGCCTGTTTACTTCATAATGCATGAAAGATGTTGTCAGGCAGAACATCCCTGGGCCCCCCCTCAAGGGTTAACGTGAACAGTAATGGGCTTGTTCCGTCCTACTTGTTGCTGTTGTTCAGTCGCACAGTTGAGTCCGACTCTTTGTGACCCCATGGACCACAGGTGTTACTAACTGGTCTCTTGGCCTACACAGCCCTCACCAGCTTCAAGGCCAGAGCTGGAAATGTGGTAATTTTCTTATGAGAACCTGTGGCCCACAGGATGGGAGGAGGGAGGTCAAGAGTGGTGAGGTAATTTTCTAGAAGGTTCCAGCAAGAACATGTCCTGACTGGGTGTCATCATCACCTGACACTGCTTGGCCAAGAAATTATAATTGCGCTAAGAGCCTGGAAAAAAGAGACTTGCTTGGATTCTGATGGGCTGAAGGCCTGGACTATGATATGCTTATATTGCAACGGGTAGCAACGTAGAGAATGCATCACCTGTGGCCTTTGACTCCTGGACTCAAAGTCGGTGCCATCTAACACAGGTCTTGGAAATGTGTTAGATCGTTAAGCTAGATTTCTTGTTTTGTTGTTGTATGATTTTAGAGCATTGTGTTGCCTGTAGAATAAATCTTTTGTTCTGATAGAAATTAAACAAAACTTAAATTAAATAAAACTTCATATAATTTCAGAAAATAAAACAAAGAGAAGCTTGGTTACTTCTGCACAACAGCCCTGGGAACCCGCAGGGTTCAACTTTGGACTCCTTGACAGATGTAAAGCCTTCTCTCCCTTCTGCTCTTAATTCCCTCGCCCGTGCTGAACGGTATGAGTGCCGCAGATAGACCAAGTACCCAGGATTCAGCGCTTGTGTACCTTTCTCCCCTTGGCGTTGTCGGGCAGGTAGCAGTAACGTGGGAAGCCCCTTGCTGAGTACGGCATGCCTGGGTTAGGATGCTCCGGACCCTGAAACAGAGAAAGGCAGAGAGTTCCCATGAGTGCAGACCAACTCGCTTGAAAACACTGCACGGAAAAGTGTCTGAGATGACAGAGTTGATCCCCCCACAGACTATTACAAAAGAAATTGACAAAAAGTAATGCTGATCTAAGACAAACACGAACCCTTTGTCAAACTTGGCTGCTTAAAGGCAAACCAAGAGCCCCCTCCTGCAAAACGTTCGGCTTCAGCTTCGGAGCGTCGCCACAGGTACCGCAGTTTAAAAGTTGACTTTATCAGTCACGATTCTAGATCACCTTTCAACATGGATTAAAAGCTCCAGATGCAGGTCTTTATAAGGCAGTAAAGAAGATTAATGAAAAAGAAATGGACAGACGAACCAATGGAAGAAATATATAAAGAAATGACTAAGAAGAAACGAGGTGTAGTAGGGAAAATTTATAAAAAGATGATATTAAATAAAGATAAAATAATAGAGTATCTACAAAAAGTGTGGAGTAGAGAGGATGGCAGAAAAAATCACGAAAGGAATAGACGAAATTAAAGTAATTAAATTTAAAGAACTTGAATATACATTTCTCACAAAATGGTACAAGACACCAGCCCAATTAGCTAACATGATTCCAGGATTAAGCTCCCTTTGCTGGCATTGTAGACAATCTAAAGGCTGGTTTGCACATATGTGGTGGGAATGCAGAGAAGCAAAGGCATTCTGGGCAGAAATTATTAAAGCTATAAGGAAAGTACAATGGGAAGCCCGATATTGGATAAGAAGGATCAAACCATAGTTAAGGCTATGATATCGGCGGGTAAAGCAGTTATAGCTTTGGGTTGGAAAGATAAAAATTAAATGGACAGTTGAAATCTGGCACAACTATTTGTTTGATTTTATACAGTCAGACATCATTACAAGTTTGCAACTCTACGCAAGGAGACAACATGGGAAGGGAAATCTGCAGAAGTTCGGAATAGATGGAAGACCTATTTTGACTGGATATCAAAGGAAGGAAGAAAAGACATTCAGTGGAAAGATTCAGACTTTGTGCCCATGGCTGGGGTCAAAAGACTAAGGACAACACGAAGATAGGGAGGGGAGGAGGGAGGAAAGGGAAGGGGAGGAAATTGTAAGAAGATGAAAAATATGCGTTGTAAAAGTTTTAAAGGGAAAAAACTAATTAAAAATGTTTTTTTAAAAAAGCTCCAGATGAAGATAAAATCATGCTGTTGCAAAACATGACTAGTGAGCAAATGCCTAGTGGGGCAAGTGATGCACTGTATTCTTGGTGCTGGAGGGGGGGGCAACAGTGGGAGGGCGCCTAGTGTCCTGGCCCCACTGGTGGACCTCCTGACGGCACCTGGTATTTCTGGCCACTGTGTGATACAGAGTGTTGGACTGGATGGGCCACTGGCCTGATCCAACATTGGCTTCTCTCATGTTCTTATGGAATAAAAATGCTTTTATACGTGGCCCTTTAGGGCCCCCCCTTTTCTGCTGGATACTAAGCCTATGTAATGGGAACGAGTGCAAACTCTTCCACTGCGTACCCTCACCCCACCCCCTTCTCTGCCCCCCGCCGGTCAAATTTTAGATTGGAAGCACTTAGGGACAGGGACCTATCCCTCCTGATGCTCCTATAAAGTGACACTACAGAATAATTCCCAAAAGAAGGCTGGAAGGGGACACAGACCGGCCTCCGTCGCAAGTGTGCACTGAAGTGAGAAGCCAGCCACAGCTCCTGAGCAGAGCCTCGTTGTCACATGTGGGAGGGGAGGGTGCCGTCAGTGTCGGGTCATCTGGGAGAAAGTGCCCCGGGCACTTTGAATCGGGGCCCCCAAAACTAGCTGGTGACTGAGGACGACGGGTTTATTACAGCACAGAGTATACTCGATGTAAAGCAGCTTCTGTGACTGCATGATACTCTTCCCACTGCTGGTAAAATACCTGCCCTTCTGCCAGGCAAGGAAGGCCGCCCTCTTGCACAGTCCCTTTGCATGCCAGCTCATTGGCCTCCACGTGCACCCCTGTGCGTGGAGACACTGACAGGAGAGTTTTCCTAATGCTGGGGGCAATGTTCCCTCTAAGCTGTGAAGTCTTGTGAGTAAAAGTTCTACTTTGTGAGCTACTGGCATGAAAGTCATGAGCAAGTGATTTGGCTACTGCATACATTCGTTTATTCTGGAGCCATCCCTTCCTGAGCTAAGACAAAAATGTGTGAGCAGGAGGCTAAAGAACTGTGAGCTAGCTCACACAAACTCAGCTTAGAGGGAACACTGGCCCGGGGGGGGGGGGGGCTTCTGGGTTTTATTCTGCTGCATAAGATTCTTTATTGTCGTTGCCCACAGGGTAGGGTGCCACGCCCCCAAAGAGGATCCTTTTATTGGCCACGCACTCCCGTCCGTACCTGAACGCCTTTGCTGATGTGGTATGTGATCTGTATGGAACCGCAGTCCTCGTGGCCTGGGAGGGAGCCTGGGAGTTTGGAAACGTCCATCCTCCCGCTGGGTTGAGTGCCCGTCTTCTCACCGTAGATGGCCTTACAAGACGGGCACTGAAGGCTGCCGTCCTGAAGGGGAAAACCAGACGTAAGGTCAAGACTCTGTTCGGCAAAGCATCTGCAAGGTCTGCCTTTTGTCTCCATGATGAATACCAGTGTGGTGGAGTGGCTGGAGCGCCAGACTAGGGTCTGGAAGTCCCACGTTCACATCTCCCCTCTGACCCGGGCCACCCAGGCTAACCTGGTCTCGTCAGATCTCGGAAGCTAAGGAGGGTCAGCCTTGGCTAGTATCTGGAAGGGCGACCTCCAAGGAATGCCAGGGTCGTGACGCAGAGGCAGGTGATGGCAAACCACCTCTGATACATCTCTTGCCTTAAAAACAAGTCTAGCTCGCCACCTAGTGGTGCACAATGCTAAAAAAGAGCTAGAACTTCTGCCAACCAGACAGTATTGACAAATGCTCTGTAATAAAATGCAAAATTATTTCAACATAAGTTATCTATTAATAAAAAAATCATGTAAATATATGATACATAGAATAACATAACAGAATCTCATAATACAATATTTGTCGATACCGTTGTCTATATGCATACTGTAATCCCTCTTGTGTATTTACACTACACACAACGCCATACAATAACAACAACAACAACAACACACATCCTTTAACCTACTTCACAGTGCTGTTGTGAGAATAACATGTAGAAGAGGAGAATGTTGTAGACCACTTTGGGTTCCCATCAGACAGAAAACTGGGGTATAAATGAATTAAAAGGCAAATTCAGTCTTGGGTTGTATTAAAAGGGCCATAGCATCGAAATCGCAGGAGGTCATAGCCCCTCTGTATACTGCCTTGGTCAGGCCGTACCTGGAGTACTGTGTGCAGTTCTGGAGGCCTCACTTCAAAAAGGATGTGGACAAAATCGAAAAGGTGCAAAAGACAGCAATGAGGATCATCAGGGGTCTGGAAAGGCTATAGGCCTTGGGAATGTTTAGTTTGGAGAAGAGGAGATTGAGGGGGGACATGATTGCTCTCTTTAAATATTTGAAAGGCTGTCATTGGGAGGAGGGCAAGGAGCTGTTCCAGTTGGCAGGAGAGGATAGGACCTGAAGCAACGGGTTTAAATTACATGCAGAAAGGTATTGGCTGGCTATCAGGAAAAGGTTTTCACGGTCAGAGTGCTTCAAAGGTGGAATCAGCCGCTTAGGGAGGCGGTTGGCTCCCCTTCACTGACAGCTTTCAAGAAGAGGCTGGACGAATATTTGCCAGAGATGCTTTAGGCTGGTCCTGCATTGGGCAGGGGGTTGGACTAGATGGTCTCTATGGCCCCTTCCAACTCTATGACTCTAAACGAATGAATGATGGGCAGCAACAAACACACGGACACAGAATACGTGGCAGTTTTTGCCAAAGGCTTTGGTTTCTGGGGCATGGAGCATCTGTGTTCTGAAAGGGCTGATGGCATTATATCCCTTTGGAGCATCCTTCCTTCCCCAAACTCTGCCCTGCCCAGTTTCCACCCCCAAATCTCCAGGAATTCCCCAACCCAGAGCCGGTAACCCTACTTACTGTCCACCTCTCAGCTTCCTCCAATCACATGCCCGGGGTTATGTGCATTCATCTATACCCCACCTTTTTGCCCACTGGGGACTCAAAGTGGCTCACTCACAGCATTCTCCTCTCCACCATTCTATCCTCGCAACAACCCTGTGAGGTAGTCCGACAGCATGTGACGGGCCACTGCCAGAATTAAAACTCTGGGTCACCACTGGCAACTACTCTGGGCCGAGAGTACTACCCAGCCGTTAACCGAACAAAACGTTTAAAGCTCTTTTATTTATTTATTTATTTAATTTTATTTATACCCCGCCCTCCCCGCACGCAGGCTCAGGGCGGCTTACAGTATGAGGTGCATTACAGCACCATAACACACAACATGGCACACAGTGCGATAAAAACACAATAAAACATTTTAAGACACTTTAATACAATGGGCAAGCGCCCAAGGATCCCGCGTGACAAACACCTCTCTCCATATTGCACCTGCCCTTGGGGCAAGGGAGGATGATGTGGCCCCCTGATGTACCTTGGCCACTCAGCCTCCGGCAGCGGTGCTGCAATCCTGGCCCTCATTGATGGTAGTGGTAGCGGCGGCGGCTCCTATTCAAAAGCCTGGCGGAAGAGCTCCGTCTTGCAGGCCCTGCGGAACTGTAACAGGTCCCGCAGGGCCCTGATCTCTTCCGGGAGCTCATTCCACCAGATAGGAGCCGCCACCGAAAAGGACCTGGCCCTCGTGGCAGCAAGCCTGGCCTCTTTCGGGCCCGGGGTCGCCAGGCGATGTTGCGACCCCGACCGTAGTGCTCTCTGGGACCTGTGCGGGGAAAGGCGGTCCCTCAGGTATGCCGGTCCCTGGCCATGTAGGGCTTTAAAGGTAAGCACCAGCACCTTGAAGCGAATCCGGAATGCTATAGGCAGCCAGTGCAGCGCTTTCAGCACAGGCTGGGATCACTGTGGCTAGGTCTTCGCGGCTGAGAAAGGGAACCAACTGCCGCACCAGCCGAAGATGGTAAAAAGCTGCCTTGGCAGTGGCTGCCACCTGGGCCTCCATCGTTAAGGTGGAGTCCAGGAGCACTCCCAAACTCCTAACCTCCGAAGCTGGCACCAAAGGCGCCCCGTCGAAGGCTGGGAGCGGGAGCCCCAATCCCATCCCGTTCCGACCCAGACACAGGACTTCCGTCTTCGCCGGGTTCAGCTTCAGCCGATTCAGCCTGAGCCATCCAGACACGGCCTGCAGCACCTGGTGTAGATCTTCTGGATCAGAGTCCGACTGGCCGCCCAACATCAGATAGAGCTGGGTGTCATCTGCATATTGATGACACCCAAGCCCATACCTCCGGACAATCTGGGCGAGGGGGCGCATATAGATATTAAAGAGCATAGGGGAGAGAACTGCCCCCTGAGGCACCCCGCATTCAAGCGGGTGCCTCCGGGACCGCTGCTCCCCTAATTCCACCCTCTGTCCCCGACCTTGGAGGAAAGAGACAAGCCATTGAAGGGCAAGCCCCTGAATCCCCACGTCGGCAAGGCGGTGGGCAAGCAACTGGTGGTCGACCATATCAAATGCGGCCGACAGGTCGAGCAACAACAGTGCCGCCACACCGCCTCGATCCAGATGTCTCCGGAGGTCATCAGTAAGGGCAACCAGTACAGTCTCTGTTCCATGCCCAGGGCGAAAGCCGGACTGGAATGGGTCGAGGGCGGAAGTGTCATCTAGGAAGCCCTGCAACTGTGTCGCCACCGCCCTCTCGATCAATTTGCCCAAATAGGGACGGACTGCCAGACCCAGCCACGGCTAAGACTCCGGCAGCCACGCGCTGGGCTGCGCCATACCTTGTTCCCGCTGGTGTACATGGCTAGCAGGCAAAGCAGGTGGAAGGCATGGCCACACTTGGCGAGTCTCCCCACGCTCTCGGGCTTGATTGTCTTGCAGTGGCCCACGTCGCTGTAGCCCGAAGGCGCGGCCAGTTTTTCCATGCAGATGATGCAGTCCTGGGGGGAAATGGAAAGCAAGAGAGATCGTGATGGTGTCACCAGAAGAAGAAGAAAAGAGATTGGATTTATACCCCGCCCTTCACTACCCAAAGGTGTCTCAGAGCGGCTTAGAAACTCCTTTCCCCTCCCCTCCCCACAACAGACACCCTGTGAGGCAGGTGGGGCTGAGAGAGTTCTTGACAGGAACTGCTCTTTTTCAAGGACAGCTCTTATCAGAGCTACGGCTTGCCCAAGGTCATCCAGCCAGGTGCAAGTGGAGGAGTGGGGAATCAAACCCGGTTCTCCCAGATTAGAGTCCGCACACTTAACCACTACACCAAACTGGCTCTCCAGGAGATCCACCAGCAGGGCCAGAACTCCACAAGCTCTCCCATAAGCACTTTGCCCACTTCATACATGCCATGACTTACCCTGTGCAGTGATGTCACAGGTCTTAAAGTCCCAGCTCTTCCCTAATGGAAGGGCGAGTCTTTTTAATAACCTACGTATATGAACCTGCCTTAGGCCAAGCCTGACCATTGGTCCATGCAGTCTTGCCACCTCCTACAGAAGCTCTCCAAGCATTGAACTGTCTTCTTAACACCTGCTATTTGAGATCCCTTCACTAGACAGGCCAGGAATCAAACCTGGGGCTTCCTGCATGCAAAGCAGATATTCCCCTGCCGGGCCACGGCCCCGCCCAAGGGAGACCAAGGAGTTCTGCCTCCCCTTACCTCATCAGCAGGGGGTGCCTTCAGCTCCTCCAAGTACTTCTTCACCACCTCTTCAGGGCTGCTGGAGGCACCTGAACGGAAAACCAAAGAGAGGGAGACCAGAAGGAGAGTCAGCGGATGATGAGGCGCAGTCGGAACGAGAGGCTGGAGGAAGCAGCGGCCGGAGGAGGAAGGGCAGGCAGGAGGAAGGATTAGAAGCTGCAAGAAAGTTAAAAACCGGAGAGAGGCTGTTTCCGATTGGTCGGCGCTGGGCTAAACTCAGTGATGGTTAGGGCGCTTCGTGCATAAGGGCAAGAGCAGCATTGCGAAGTGGTTAGTTGCGTCTCCTGCTTGAAGAAGAGAGAAATGTGAGGCCAGAAAGGGTGAGAAAGGAGGCCAAGGGATGGGGCCGCTTTGGAACAGAAGCTAGGCCAAAGCGGGGCGACGGGGAACCTCTCCTCCAAACAGAGCCTGAAGGGGGTCGGGGTCAACATTTGGACTGCATTGCTTCTGAAGGTGGGGAGGAAGGCTGCCATTTGGCAATACCGGCTGTCTGTACAGCCCCCCCCCCCGCAATTAAAGAACTAGCACATCATGGAGAAGCGCTCTTGCCCAGTCCTTTCCCTGCCAAGCTAGGCCTTTTTTTTAGCGGCAAGGAATAGTCCACACGGGACGGGGGAGCATTCAAAAGCACAATTCCTCCCATCTCCCCCCCATCTCTACAGCCTTATCCTCTTGCCTGCGCAGAGTCTGAGCTCCTCAGCTAACGCAGGACGGGTTTGCTGAGCTATTGCAGAGGAAGCCGGGAGAGGTAGGCCACAGCGGGGACACCAAGCAGGGACTTGGATGTTTTAGTACAAATATAACTGAACCCCCCCCCCCCAAAAAAAAAAAACACACACAAAAAAATAAAGACTGAAATGCACAAAACGCACAACCACCCAGTTGTTTGGCTAAACCCTCGGGTGCACAGCAGGACTTGTCACTGTCCCCTGGGGAGGAGACTGGCCTCTGCCAGCGCACAGATAGCTCCGCAGCCTCCTCAGAGGCTGTGGCTCGCCATGATACCCACAGGCCATTCGGGGGCCGGGAGCGTGAGATAAGAAGGGGCGGGCACCAGTGTTCCCTCTAAGCTGAGTTAGAGTGAGCTAGCTCAGATTTTTATCCTCCAGCTCACTTATTTTTGTCTCAGCTCAGGAAGGATGGCTCCAGAGCAAACTAATTAATGCAGGAGCCAAATGGCTTCCTCACAACTTTAATGGCAGTAGCTCACACAGTAGAATTTTTGCTCATGAGACTCCACAGCTTAGAGGGAACATTGGAGGGCACCAAGAAGCCAGCTCCTCATGTAAAAGAAGAGGAGGAGATTGGATTTATGCCCTGCCCTTCATTACCCAAAGGAGTCTCAGAGCGGCTCACAATCCCCTTTCCCGTCCCCACAACAGACAACCTGTGAGGTAGGTGGGGCTGAGAGAACTCTCTTGAGAACTGCCCTTGAGAGAACAGCTCTGAAAGAACGTATGACTCACCCAAGGTCACACCAGCAGCTGCATGTGAAGGAGTGGGGAATCAAACCCGGTCCTCCCAGATTAGAGCCTGCCCTCCTACCCACTACACCAAACTGGCCCTCAAAGAAAAAGAAAATGTGCACGACGGGGTCTCGGGGGCAGGCCAGAGGAGATTCTATATCTGCGACGACCTCTAAGCAAACCTGTCACCACGTGAAGAGAGTTCCAGGCAGGTGGCTGCCTTGGTTTGCAGTCGAAGAGCAAGTTTCGAGTCCAGCCATACCTTAGAGAAACGCTCTCAGCCTAACCTACTTTGCAGGGTTGGTGTGAGGAGAAAATGGAGGAGAGGAGAGCAATGTAAGCCACTCTGGCTCCCCGCTGGGGAGGAAAGCCGGGTACAAACGAATTCAATAAAGACCAGCAAGATTTCCAAGGCAGAAGCTTTTAAGAGTCAAAGCTCCCTACCTCCGAGGTGACGAAGGGAGCTTCTGGAAGCTGATAGCCCTGGAAATCATGTTGGTCTTCAAGGTGCTGCTGGCCTCAAAACTTGCTCTCCACGTGAAGAAAACGAGCGACGCAACGGCGGGAGTTTCACAAACAAACCACACGGCTTGCGGATGCAGCAGAGTGCCAGCAAGGCTGGAACACGACAGAAGCTGTGATGTTAATCGCAGCTTAACCAAAACCTCTGTGCCTGCATTCGTAACTCTCCTGCTGGGGTTGGCCCCATAGCCGGGCAGGTGCCGTATAAGCTGGGCACTCCCACAAGAAGCGAGATCACAAAAGGGGAAGCAAGGCGATGCGCTGCTTCCCCCGTGTGGCTGGAATAACAGAGTTCCTCTGCAGGGGGGGGGGGGGAGAGTTTGAACTTACAAACAGGGGCAATGTCCTGAGTACCTAAGAAGAGGAAGTACCTAGGAAGAGGACCTAGGAAGAGGACCTGGGAGAACTGGTCTGGGAAGGGAATCCCAATGAATTCCAAAAAAGCCCTGGCTGAGGGCTTCTTCGACCCACGCTCCCCCCCCCCAAAAAAAACCCACTCCCCCATTTTCACCAGGGAAGGGAAAGAAAAGGCTGGACTCTTGAGGCAGGGAGGCCTCTGTTAGCATCCTAATGGCTTTACAGCCACCAGACTCTGCAGCCTGGAATCCAGAAGGCACTGAGGAAGCGGGGAGAGCAAGAGAGGTGCGATGCTCCCTCTAAGCTGTGGAGCCTTCGTGAGCAAAATTTCTACTTTGTGAGCTACCGGCATTAAAGCTGTAAACGAGCGATTTGGCTGCTGCAGAGTCTGCTCTGGAGCCCTCCTTCCTGAGCTAAGGCAAAAATGTGTGAGCTGGAGGCTAAAAAACTGAGCTAGCTCACACTGACTCGGCTTAGAGGGAACACTGGTTGCCAGGTCCTCCCTGGCCATCTGCAGGGGGTGCCAAAATTCAGGTTGGGAATCCAGATCCACCCTCCCCACTCCCACCTGTCCCTGAATTTTGTATTTTTTTCAATGTAGGTGCGTGCACGGATATAGCCCTTAATATATGAGGGGGTTCTCCCCATCCACCCATTTTTTTAAAGAAAGAACATTCCCCACCCCCCTGCAAATCTGTGGGCTCCCCTGGGTTAGCAGAACTCTGCGTTGTAGCTGGCCCTGGGACTGGTCCTTGGCTGCCCACCATGAGAATGTTAAGACAGTGTGTTGCCAGCTCTGAGTTGGGAGATACCTGGAGATTTGGGGGGGTTGGATGCTGGGGAGGGACCTCAGCAGGGTATAATGCCATAGAGTCCACCTGTCAGCTATGCTGCCATTGCGGAAGGGGGGGGGAAGGATGAGGCTGTTCCTGACCGTCTTAATTTGCTGGAATGTTATCCTTCACTTCTCTCTCAGTGCCTTATCATGTAGCCTGCTCTACTGACCTTGGCGTTTTCGCAGACTTGGTATGGGCACCCGTTATTTTCGGCGCGCTTGCCTTTCTTTGCTGATTGGCCTGGATCCATCAGGAGGGCCCCTTTTGAACTCTGTACGTCTGCCACCTCTCCCGCCTTAAGATCAGTTCTGACCACTCTGTCTCAGTGTCCCACAGCGATCGATTCTCCACACTTTCTTTCCAAAGAGTAAAGAGAGTCTACTCTTTGGAAAGGAAGGGCGGAGAACTGATTGCCGTGGGACTCTGACACCACTCTCCAAAGCAACCGTTTTCTCCAGGGAAACTGATCTCGGCCACCTGGAGATCAACTGTAATAATCTGCAGAACAATAACCTTATGTATCATAGAAGATCTTTCTGTTGAAATGTTAAGTTTTACAATAATTTTGACTTGGTTTTCAAGTTTTAATGAGACGCACTTTTATGTTCATGTATCTTTGAGCTGCGGTGGCTCAAGTGGTTAAGACGCTGAACTGCAGGCTGTGGAAGGTCAGTAGTTCAGCAGTTCAAGACCCGAGTGTGCCGCATGATGGAGTGAGCTCCCATCTCTAGTTCCAGCTCCTGCCAACCTAGCAGTTCAAAAGCAAGACATTGCAAGTAGATAAATAGGTACCACTTTGGTGGGAAGGTAACAGCGTTCCGTGCGCCTTGGTGTTTAGTCATGCTGGCCACATGACCACAGAAACGTCTTCGGACAGCGCTGGCTCTTCGGCTTTGAAACGGAGATGAGCACCGCAACCCTAGAGTCGGACTCGACTGGCTTTCGAGCAAGGGAGCCTTTACCTTTACCTATCTTTGTTATTGGCAATAGATTGTTACTGCTTGTTTTGAAAAAATAAAAGAAATAATTACAACCCCCCCACTGTAATAACGGGAGGTCTCCCTATGCCACCTGGAAGCTGGCAACCCGAGACACAGCACTCCCCCTCCTTCCTTCCTTCCTTGAGCCAGCCAGCCACAAGCCAGATTCCAAAGACACTAAAAACCAGGTCCTCAAAGTGAAGGCAGAAGCCCCGACCAAGCTCCTAACAGCAGCCCTAAAGGAAAACCCAAAAAGATCTGGAAACGCATAGCCAAGCACTTAAAAAAACCCAAAAAACTGGCCCAGGGCAGTCCAGCCAGCCATTGTGCAAGCGCCGCGAGAGGTAGGTAAGCCCCACGACAGGCAGGATTCCCAGACTTCTGGAGGAGGTGCCGGTGCAAAGAGAGCCCTGCATGATGCCGTGGATGGTAAATGATGGGACGCGGAAAGTGGGGAGGAGTCGATAGTCTTGTGTTCTTATTGATACCATGCAGGATGTTGCGTGGGGGGGGGGATTACCTTCTCTCTCCATCTGGCCGGTCACTTGTCTAGATCCTGTGCTAGCACTGTGTCCTCCAGAGTCCCCACGAAGTCTCTCAACATGCCTCCTAGAACTCCCAACAGAAGTCTCCCTGGAAGCATGCCTCCTCCTCCCCTTCGAGAACGGCTCCCCTCTCTGAGTTAAGGGCTGCGTCCCTCCAGGGAGGGCTTCTTCTACCCACCGGCCCCCGGAAACCACGCCCCCGTTTTCACCAGGGAGGGGAAAGAAAAGGCTGGAAGCCGGAGGCAGGGAGCCCCCCCACCCCCACCCCCCGTTACTGGGTTGCCTCTATTAGCATACTAATTGGCTTCACAACCACCAAACTC